TCGACGCGCATTCACAACGAACCTTGCCTTATTCGGAGAAAAACGCATGAGCAACCGAATAAATTCATTTGATTTCAACGTGATCCACGTGAAATCCGCCCCGCAATAGTCGCATTATAAAGCGTAGTTTGCTGCAGTTCGGAGATCATCGAATCCCTCCAGAAGCCAAAGTCTGCACCCTGTGCTGCCACGATCTAATATAGTGGATTCCACTAGCGAAGGTACAATGGGAGCCAACAATTCTGGTGAGAAGTCTGAAAATCGCCGTCCTAATGCTTGTTGACAATCCGCTGTTTATGGATTTATCATTTTGCAGTATTTTGCAATATAGGCAAAGTGACTTTTTCCGAAAAATGAAGGGAAGTTCTCCGTTATTGAGGTGGAACCCGTTGTTGGTCTACAAATTACAATCCGACTAGGGCACAATTTCCACATTGAGACTTTTCCTGGTGTTCCCTGGAACGTGAGTTTCCCTTGGCGTGCTTTGTAGAAGGTGATGGTACGAACCGGGTGCCGTTCGTTGACCGTAATGCTGCTAAAGCCCACACGCGGCCCTTATTTACTCATGCGTTGATTACCTGAGAAATGTCCTATAAGTTTATCACTCTTGCTATAGAGTTCACACTATTGATACAGATTGTTGACGCTTCGAATTTTTTGTTGCAGGACTTTCCTTCCAACCTAATAGTATCTGAATCGCTATCATGGCTTGCCTGGTAATACAGCAGTTGGGGTTTTGACGTCGTAGATTACAAATGCTTCATTCAGGACAAAACGGCCCACTCAGATGTTTTGAGTTCTCTGTCCAACATGTAAAACTCAGTATTTTTTCGTAGCGAACAGAGGGAGTACTCAGGCGACAATCTGCAGATTGTCAGGAGGTCAATGAAGATTCCTGCTTTCGATATCTTAAGAGTATTTCTAAACGTCGGTGAATCAGTTTTTCACAGAATGTAGATTGTTGAACTACCACATTCATTGCCAAATATCAAGATGAATCATCAGTCCTCATAGTACTTCATTACCATTAGTGGTGAGTGATGAGTTTCCATAGAGACCGTTACTTTCGATGGTTTATAAGGCTCTTTCAAATCTACCTTTCTTCTTTCATAAAAAAGGCGCTCCATTCTCTAAAAATTGGTGAAGGTGATGATAAGTAATTGGCAGTGTAATCGGGTTCCATTTCGGGGATTTTGTATGATTGGCTCAGCAGGCAGCAGGCATTGACAAAAGGTTAAAAGGGATGTGCTCATTTAGCTTTTGTGAACTGAACTTCAGAGAGATAGCGAAAAGCTTCAAAAAACGGAAATCGTGGGTGGGAGACGCCAATACTTGCTTATATCTGTAGGAACTCAATTTTTGAATTTTCACTCCTCCAATTTGAGTCACAGTCGATCTACATCCCACAGCATAGGGGTATATGTGTTGTGAAATGTTACGGTGAAGGAAACCCTTTGGAAGTTCCTGAGATTACGGTCTATCTCTAAAAACAACGCACCAGATGGTAGCAACTAATTGGTATCAAAAGTTTTCTTATGCAAAGAAGAGAAAGAAGAAAGAGAAGAATAAAAAAGCTCCTTTAGCCACAAAACACAACTTAACCGTTTCGTATGAAACTTTATTGCTACACTTTACAAAATCAAATCGAGTAATATACAAAGCAATCAAGTAGTGCAATAAACAATAACAAAGTATTGTCTTACAGAACGCAACGTAACAAGTAGGCGAGAAAGATCATTTCTGCTAAATGATTTCGAGAAACAGAAACGGCTGAAGTAAGCTGCACGAAGGTAGTACAGCTTCTCATGATTATCATGTCAAGTCAAGGTATCAAGTCAAGTAAAGTGAAAACGAGATATTCACAGAAAAACCACCAAAACAGCGGTCTATTCATCCATCATCTGCGNGCTGAATAAACGAGTATTCTATTCCCATATAGCAACAATGTACCTGTTTCTAACGTAGACTAGAGAAGCGCCGTCTTGTGCAGGATCATTGGGGTTCGGATCGTCCAGGAGGTCCTGTATCCCAATAAGAATTTCCCTGAGCGAGATTGCTGGTTTCCATCCTTGATCCTCATATAAAATAGATAGACAGATTCTGCCTAAAACGAAGAAACATAGCAGATAAACTCTCTCACAAACAAAAACCAGCAGAGCCGAGTAGTTCGTAGACATGTCATTACAAAGCTGACAGCTGTACTGCCATCATTCCAACAGGTAACGATGTCTTTTCAATTGTGGCACGCAAGTTCACTCAATTTAACCATCTTACTGTAAGCCATCGTGGGTGTAATACAGAAATATTTAAAACGCAGAGAACCTTACAAAGAGTGGCATTCAAATTTCCCGCATTTACTACAAAGAATCTCTCTCTCTTTCTCTCTTGTCTCTTAGTCTCTTTACGCCTACTCTTTTATTCCTTTAATTCGATGTTACATCCACTTTCGCCGAGTCCAGGTCACAGAATTCATACGAAAAGGTAAAAACTCCTATTTACCTGAATAAGAAACATTCGGATGGTAGACCAGAGGGTCGAGTTTGCAAATTGGTGGGGTTGAAGGATAGGCGTCATTGAAATAAATATGAATCTAAAAACCAAGATGATTTCATAAACAACTGAATCAATAGTTCATTTCAGTATTACTACCGATAAATGCCTAAAAATTGTCAATTTTCCATCAATTTTCCACATGAATAAATGAAGAAAAAATGGTGAACTATAAGTAGAGTACCTTGTACAGCCCGCCCTCCCAAATAGTGCCCTTTTTGCCTGGCACAGCACAAACAAATTTGAATAGATTCAAGGTCCCGTCAGAGTCTCTCGCTGGCTTAGCAACGAATCCGAAAGGATGATTCTTTCTCCAAGCCCTCCTCTCTTCGACAAGGCGGAATACGGCTATGCCGGACATCTGTAAACGTAGTTATCAAGAAGAGCTACAGATGCTTTGTACTAAACACATCTTTTCGTTCTGCAGAAGTTGTCAGATATGATATATAGCATGACAAAAATTCTGAGAACCTGACAATCAAGTTCGTGCAAGAACTACGACTAATCCACCACAAAAGCATATACGTGGCTACAGAGTTTTCAGATAACTATGAACTACATCCAAAGAAATTCGCTTTATGCTACTTCAGAGTCTTACCGCAGTCGAGGTATGAGCCAATAGAAGGCAAGTCGCGGCAGCCGCACCAGTGGCGTGCCGAGGCTGATCAAAGGGAAGGTAGTGGTTGATTGGAGCGCGCAATCTACTGCAGTGCTACTGAACGAGCTCCTACCTACTTAACACTGTGAGACAGCTATCAAAGTTCGACGCGCATTCACAACGAACCTTGCCTTATTCGGAGAAAAACGCATAAGCAACCAAACAAATTCATTAGATCTCAACGTGGTCTACGTGAAATCCGCCCCGCAGTAGTCGCTGAACAATGCGATTCCACCAGGAACTTTAACGCCTCAAAAGGTTCCTTTCCTTTTTCAAGAAGTTTTCATAAAATGATATTGGTATGCTGTTAACACTGTTATGCATAATAATAATACAGCCACCCATGAATTTCTTCAAAACTTGCGCTCCACGGCAGATCAGGAAAAAGCTCAATATGGAAATTGTGCCCAACTCGGACCGCAACTTGTAGACCAACAACGAGTTCCATCTCAAACATGGACAATATTTGCTTCATTTTTTCGAAAAAAGTCACTTTGCCTATATTGCAGAATGGCAAGGTAACCTCATATTCTCCGTAAGTTTCCATTCTCACCTCAGACAGTTGCTTAAACTGTGTCAAGTTTTCCAATTTCAGGTGAAGACCAAAAAAAGTTGCTATCCGATTTTGAGAAAGGTCAAAATCTTGCAAAAGTGAAGCAAGGACTATCAAATCGCAAAGTTGCTCGAGATTTTAGCCGATGCCACTCATTTGTTGAAAATTTCGTCAGGAATACTAAGGAGTTTGGAAACAAAAGGAGTACGGGGTTTTCCGTTGCTTTCGGGAGGATATAAGGGGTGGTTTCGGAAAAAGCATCGAATAGTCACTCTCATTTACACCGACGTCGTGGGTGGCTGTGTTTCCGCTTCCTCTCAAGCTATCTCCTTTTATTTTATTTGAGTTTATGCTGAACACACTTACTGTTGGTTGCTTTCCTAGCTTCTTTTTTGTTTTGCGCGGTTTATAGTTTCTTTCAGCACATCAACCAATCTGCGAATTCGAGTTTTTTTTGTTTTTCTTTAGCTCGCTATTCCTTGATATCGATTATTATATCTACCATATCATGCCCCCCAAGGTTGATTGCACATCTAGGCGTAGGGAAACTGTTTCAGACGGCTTGTCCTGAGGGAATAGCTTACACATAAAAGATTTTAATTCAGACGCTGGTTCAGGTGATAAGGACCTCAGAAAACTGAGCGTAAGCGAGCTTCTCAAAGCTCTCCTTCAGCGCAATACCGACTCGGTTGTCGGCAAAATGCTCAATGTTCTTTCGGAAAAAAATCCAAAATGAAATGTCTGAGCAAGTTGAGGCTGAGAAACGAGCTAGAAGCTTGGTGGTGAATGGTATTGACGAAGCGCCACATCATCTCAAACACTCGGAACGCCAGAATGATCTCGAAATAGGGTGGTTGAACTACTCGATATTTTGCAGGTTGAGCGCCGTTCAGTAGAAATCCACAGGATGGGGAAGCTTTACCCTCCCGCCCCAGGCTAGTGAAAATTCTTTTCCCCTCAAGGGCCCACTGGCGAACTACATTGGCCAACGCCAAAAACTTGAGGTCCGAGAGCTTAGCCAACGTGTTTGTACGGCTGAAGAACGGCGACACGAATACGAGCTACGCCTGGAAGCAAGGGAATGGAATGGAGGGAAATCAAAACGCGAGTGGGTCGTGTCCAGGGGAGAACTCAGAAAGCTTTGAGATCTTCCTCAATCTCAAAGTTGGGAAACCTCTGAGTGAGCAAGGCAATCTGAATACCTTGCATTGTTTTCTCTTCAATGCTCGCAGCCTAACGAATAAAATTGCCAACCTGCATGCATTTTTGAATATAGAAGACCTGATATTGTGATCATCACTGAAACTTGGTTGAATAGCCACCTATCTGACTCAGATCTAGTTGCTAGTTTACCTTATTTTGTTTATCGTCGTTACCGAGAAAGAAGAAAATTGGCGAAGACTGCTGCCTGATCAACTCCCTTTCAGTTCCCAACATTGTCACCCATGGTTACACATTCAACTCTGATGTCTTATCTTTTGAACTCTGCAGCTCTAATGTCCGATCTACGGTAATTTATATCGCTGTTTACCGTCCTCCGAATTCTACTGCAGCTGATGACTCTCAAATTCTCGCTCTGCTTTCTGGTTTGAGTTCTACCAGGCGCAATATCATCCTCCTAAGTGACCTCAACCTCAGAATCGACTGGGAAGAGAAAAAAGTTTTGAACTCACCTTCAGCTCCATTCTTGGACTTCTTTGAGAATGTCGATTTCATACAACTGGTCTCTCATCCCACTGGCATCTTTCATAGTCCACGGTTTTCGCGAGCGAACTGATCGCGCGATCTGCTCGGGACCGTCTTCGGCGGCACTCATAACTAGCGCGGCCTCCTCGACCGATCGCACGACTGGTCGGATGGCTAGTCCGGTAATGCAGCAGTTGGGGGTGTGGTGCGTTAGGAACGAAATGGTCGCGTCGCGATGAGAGGGACGTCGCGCGCGAAGGAATGTAGCAGGATGCAGCAGTAGGTAAGAAATACANGAACAAAAGTACTAATAGTAGAATTATGCATAAAATAATGATCGCATATCGATTGAGCTGTATGAAGAACGCTAGAGCTGTTATAGTGAGGCAAATGGTACGCCACAGCCGCGTGCGGCAAATCGATTACCCAAAAGCCCGTCTCCCCAGCAGTTGGGACTTTGTCGTCGCAGATTACAAATGCTGCACTCAGGACAAAACGGCCCACTCAGATGTTTTGAGTTCTCTGTCCAACATGTAAAACTCAGTTTTTTTTTCGTAGCGAACAGAGGGAGTGCTCATGCGACAACGTGCAGATTGTCATGGGTCAGTGAAGATTCCTGGGTTCGATATCTCAGAGGATTTCTCAACGTCGCTGAATCAGTTTTTTTTTGGTTGACGCCAATACTTGCTTATAACTCAATTTTTTGTATTCCCACGTCTCTAATTTGAGTCACAGTCGATCTACATCTCTCACCATAGGGACATACTGTGAAGAGCTATGGTGGAGGGAACCTTGAGGAAGTTCCTGAGATTGCGATCTATTTCTAAAAACAACAAACCAGATTGTAGCAACTAATGGGTATCGAAATTTTTTTATGCAAAGAAGGTAAAGAAGAAAGAGAAGGAAAAAGTTTTTTCAGTCACAAAACACAACTTAACCGTTTCGCAAGAAAA